GGGGGGGGGGGGGGGGGAGTGGAGAGAGATATAGAGTCTGCACCAACCACTTCTACCGAGATAAGGATAACATATAACAATGCAAAAATTCACAAGAAGAAGGTAACAAACCAATGGCCACAAATTCATCAATGTTTTCAGCACACAGAAGTAGAGAATAGATTTTCCTCAATCACTTAGACTTGGGAAATCAGCTAAAGTCACCTGATCTTCAAATTCTTTCACATTCCCTGTACCTTTTTCCTCAAACCTCCCTAACTTAAATTGTTTCAGCTCCACACCTTTCGCTTCCCCATTATCTACAAGATCAGCCAATACTCTCCCCACTACTGGAGCCATCTTGAACCCATGTCCTGAAAACCCTCCTGCAACTACCACATCCTTCCCAAACTCACCACCCAAAAAATCAATCACAAAATCTTCATCTGGTGTCATCGAATACAAGCAAGATTGAGTCATCACTGGTCCGGTCGAGTCGACTCGGTCCCCGAATCTTTCCCGAATCCATTGTCTCAGTGAATCCAATATCATTGGCGCTGGTGACCATGTCCTCTTGTCCGGCTCACACCGCTGGCCACCGTGCACAGGAATCTTGATCAATCCCGGGAACTCCAGTGATGGGGTTCCGTATATGTAAGGCTCACCGTAGCTTGCAAACGTCGGAAAACCTCCTTGGATTGTGAATTCCTCCTCGTGCCCTTGCTTGATTTTCCAGTAACAAACACAGGTTTCCAATGGTTGTATGGGTAGTACTAGGCCTGTAACTGATTGAACTAACTTGTTCATCCAAGCCCCAACTGTCACAACACATTTTCTTCCCCAAAAACTTTCACCATTCCTAGTACACACGAAAACACCATCTCTCACATCATCTTTTTTAATGTCAAACACTTCACTGTTGTCTCTAAGTACAGCACCATTTTTCAGTGCAAGTGTTTGAAACATTGACACTGCTTTTGTGGGCTTAATTACACCACCAAGGTCGCTTAACACACCAACCCAATTCTCCGCCAGTTGTATCCTGCCGGAGAATTCTTCATGAACTTGGCGTTGGTCGAGTACCCGGTGGGGTATCGAGTTTTTACGGCAGCTGGCGATGACGGCTCGTAGGCTCTTGTCGTCGGAAAGGCCCATGTCGAATTGGGGAGACTTGAAGTAGACTTTGTAGCCAATTTCGGATTCGGCTTCTTCCCAAAGATGTGATGATTCAATGACCAAGCGGGAGTAATAGTCTTCGGGGTAGGTAGCTCGTAGAGTTCGTGACTCACCGTGGGAGGAGCCACGGTGGTGCAAGAAATCGAATTGCTCAAGAAGGAGGGTCTTGTGACCCCTTTTGGAGGTTTGGTAAGCTGTGGAGCTGCCCATGATGCCTGCTCCAATGACAATTACGTCGAATTGCTCGCCGGAATTTTCCATCTCTCTCTCTCTCTCTCNTAGCTTGCAAATAACATCACATCCATAGAATTATATAAATAAACAAAGCTTGCAAATAAGTGATGAGATTCATTTTTGTTAATCTTTTTTCTTTGGCTCGCAATATTTGTCAATCCAGTCGTCCAAATCTGTTGTTTGATGCCTTCAGCAAAATTTTGCAATTGGCAAACTGTGTTGGCAAAGACGCACACAAAAAAACAGGGGTATGATGGAGAGACTGGGAGAATCATCTTTAACCGCACCATGACCTGTGCGGCATCGTTGATGTCCTGATGTTCCTATGTTTTGACCAAGAGGTGGCATGGGCACAATTTGCCAAGCCAAAATTTTGGTCCATCAACTGGATGACCATCGGATTTAAAAAAAAAATTAGATGTCCCTGTACTTCTGACTGTCTTCAAATATTACTCAAATTTGTAGGTCAAATTAAAGTATGATTTATTGAATAAAAGGGGTTTATTATTTTAATATAAGTTACCGATTTAATCATTGACATTTATTTGATATGTAAATTATGAAAAATATTTTGGGAAATACCGTGGTGTTGTTGTTCAGAATTAGAAGAAGCAATCCTCAATTTTTGTTCAAAAACCAAAAAGAAGCTTAAAATATGCTGTAAATTAAACATTGCACACATATTTTTAGCGGGGGGCCGCCGCTGGGGAAGGGGGGGNAAGATTGAGTCATCACTGGTCCGGTCGAGTCGACTCGGTCCCCGAATCTTTCCCGAATCCATTGTCTCAGTGAATCCAATATCATTGGCGCTGGTGACCATGTCCTCTTGTCCGGCTCACACCGCTGGCCACCGTGCACAGGAATCTTGATCAATCCCGGGAACTCCAGTGATGGGGTTCCGTATATGTAAGGCTCACCGTAGCTTGCAAACGTCGGAAAACCTCCTTGGATTGTGAATTCCTCCTCGTGCCCTTGCTTGATTTTCCAGTAACAAACACAGGTTTCCAATGGTTGTATGGGTAGTACTAGGCCTGTAACTGATTGAACTAACTTGTTCATCCAAGCCCCAACTGTCACAACACATTTTCTTCCCCAAAAACTTTCACCATTCCTAGTACACACGAAAACACCATCTCTCACATCATCTTTTTTAATGTCAAACACTTCACTGTTGTCTCTAAGTACAGCACCATTTTTCAGTGCAAGTGTTTGAAACATTGACACTGCTTTTGTGGGCTTAATTACACCACCAAGGTCGCTTAACACACCAACCCAATTCTCCGCCAGTTGTATCCTGCCGGAGAATTCTTCATGAACTTGGCGTTGGTCGAGTACCCGGTGGGGTATCGAGTTTTTACGGCAGCTGGCGATGACGGCTCGTAGGCTCTTGTCGTCGGAAAGGCCCATGTCGAATTGGGGAGACTTGAAGTAGACTTTGTAGCCAATTTCGGATTCGGCTTCTTCCCAAAGATGTGATGATTCAATGACCAAGCGGGAGTAATAGTCTTCGGGGTAGGTAGCTCGTAGAGTTCGTGACTCACCGTGGGAGGAGCCACGGTGGTGCAAGAAATCGAATTGCTCAAGAAGGAGGGTCTTGTGACCCCTTTTGGAGGTTTGGTAAGCTGTGGAGCTGCCCATGATGCCTGCTCCAATGACAATTACGTCGAATTGCTCGCCGGAATTTTCCATCTCTCTCTCTCTCTCTCTCTCTCTCTCTCGTGTGTATGACAGAACGAAGGAAATGCAGTGTTCTTTTCTCTTTGCCAAATACAGAAGAAAAAAACAAAATTGAACGGTAAAGTTGTTACGTTTTTCTGCCTATTGCTGATCTGGTCGTAATGACATCTTTAAAAGAAACCCAATAGCACATGTATTTTAACACTCAATGTCAAATGATAAGGCTCCCATGTGAACATTCGATCAGATTCATCTCAGACTAGATTCTCTCAAAAAATTTAATTTAAATTATTTTTAATTTCAGTAAATTAAAATTGAAAGAATTTTGATATTTAACAAAAATAATCGATCTTTTAATAAATCAATTTTTTCTGCAATCTTTTAATAAAATCAAATTTCTCTTTTAGGCCGTCATAAATTGACTAAAACTGATGTACTTTAAAAATTGTTTAAACCAAACATGGTAAAATTTTCAATTCAAACCCATAATACTTTTATGCTCCAACCCTCTTTGAATGAGATTCAAACGAAACATTCTAGGGTTTCATCTTCTACATATATCTCAACATTCATTGATTTTCCCATTGTGAAGGCACATTAAAACTCAAACTTGACTGCGTAAACACCTTAGTCAAGCTTTGTAGCATGCACCATATGAAAAAAAACTACCCAGAATTTGAAGAGCCTTAGATTTGTTTCGATTTTAAACTATGTCAACCGATTAATCTATAGTCTAAAGTATCAAGATATGCATCACACGAGTGAACACTTCAACCTAAATTATACTATTCCGAATATCTGATATATCATCAACAACTTTTTTGTTGTTTGGAAACAATAAGATGATTGATATCCGAATTATAACTCAATATCCTGATATTCTCCCATGGGATTGGCAAACCATGAAACAAGACTTCTTTCTTTACTAGGGTCTCTAAAATAGTTGACTTAGATGTTTGGCGTGACACTTAAAACCAGAAAAATATGGAAAGGAATGATTCCATTAGGTTGGTGATCTTCCCCTCTGGAAAACACGTGGTTATGACAGGAAAATCACTTGAGTGGATAGAGACCAAAACAGTATGAAGACAGTATGTCACTCATGGGGAAATGTTTTTTTATGATTATTCATACTTTAAATTTTAAAAATGTTTGAATTCTTAATTTGCACCTAAAATATTTTAATTCTCAACTGCGTCGGCAGTATCCTGAAGGTGATGATGTGACCCAAAGCCAACTATTGTTTACCTTTCCGTCATAAAAGTGGCACAAATATGACGATAAGATATGTTTTCAGGCGAAAAATTAAATGACAGATGAAGTCTAGTCACTTTGCAACTTTCTTATGACCTTGAGAGTATAATTTGACATTTAAAATTTATCAGGTTACAATTTGAGAATTTGAGTATCTGTAACGTTTCGAATTTTTATAAAATAAGAGTTATTATTTTGAAAAATATTAAAATTTTAATGTGATCAATATAATTTATTTTTTAGATATTTTACATACATAAATAAATACCTTCTGTATAGACGAGTCCGATGAATATAATATAGGATATGTTTTATGTTAGGATAAAATAAGTGAAGCTAAATATTTTTAGGTGTAATAAATGTAATTTTTGGTGTGTTGTAGAAAACGTGTCAAAAATGGTATTTTGTGTGTATGAATATGGAGGCAAACGCATGGCAAGCACGGCAAAATAACAGGAAAATATGGCAGTGATGTGACACCTTAAAAGTTGGGGTTTTTAATTTAATAAAATTCGGGTAAAGTCTACTTTGTATGAGAAGTTTTATCCAAAACATAACCTGTGCATTATAGAATCACATGACCCATTCAAGATCCAATATATAACATTGACCACACCGGGTCCATTTATAAGTAAATATTGACCACACCGGGTTCTTTTATAAGTAAACATACAATAGCATGCATGATTATATTAAAATAGTCCAAAAACGAATTTAGCGAATGTTTTACAAAAACATAGTTTTTCACAATAAAACTCTATATATACAAGTTCCATTACAAGTAATTACATATAATTATGTGTCCAAAAACATAATTTTACAATAGTTTTACAAAAAACTCAGTGCAAAAGCCACAACCTGGCTTTTCTTTATCTTTGAGACCTCGAATGAGAGTCATCCACCGGGGTATATCCCGTATCTGAAATGTGGTCCCGTATAGGATGAGCTATGCCCAGTAGAGTATTTCCTACAGAAGCTACTCCCCAACCTAAGTGCATATGCAATGTTCACATGTAACATTTAACAACCAGAATTCCTTCCATACAAGAACATATAAATTTAGGTGAAAATTCTAACATGTCATGTCATGATATGAAATGATACTCACTCACACACTTTAACCCGAGCCCTCACCGACTCCCACAACACAATGTAAATGCTAATGTGTAGAAAATCTGTCATTCATGAATTTCATCTAATGATCATTTTAAAATCTCCGAATCTTTCGTGGGATGAGTATTTATGGACTTACACCAACAGCACCCAACCGACACATAATTCATGGATTTCCACCAACGGTTTCACGTACACCGACACACTTTATGGATTCTTATACCACTGGAGTGCGTATCCAAGTCATTGGGTCTCTAACCCGAGAAATTTTCTAGCCCTTCTTGCTTACTCCGACCCTAGTTTTTCATGTAACCATGCGATTCAACGGGATCTTCGATTCACCTTTCCCGAGTCCACTTATCAATCCACAAAGTGTGGTGTTTGATCAAACCATGCCCACACACCACACTCATGCATTATACCAATGAATACGATGCCAATTTCATGCTCAAAATGTAATGAATGCCAAATGAGCTAATTTAACCACATATTTCAACATATGTCATGCCAATTTATCAATTGCATATAAGTACCATAAATTATCATCATGTTAATGTATTAACAACATATCTCAACTCATTCATCCTCAACAAAAATTCACAAGCATGTTATACAAAACTCATGTCATAATAAACTTGATTCCACATAGGCATTTAGCAAAACACCTTCAAGGCAAACAATTCATGTTATTACACAGATTTTGCCCGCATCATTCACAAGGCAAAATGACAACACATAGCATGCCCAACAATATCAAGTTCCAAGAATTTTCACATGGAACCTCACATATCAATTTCAAACTAGCAATTGATTAAATCATTTCTACACCTACTCCATAACCATAGGCAAGTGAAATACATAGTTCCATATACCTACCCATTTCTATTAAACTAACTATATAATAGGAAAGTTTTAAAATACACAAAACAACCCACATAAACTCAATTTTCAAGAGTTTACACCAATAGCTTTCAGATATCAAATTTAAGCTAGAAGTTGGTCTAAGCTATTTCTATAACCAGTTTCTCACTTCCATAACAAGAGGCAAGTGACATTAATAGTTCTATGTACCTAACTCATAACACATAACACCCTAGGTTAGAAAATAAGTCAAAGTAGGAGGAACCCTACCTCTTGAAGCGTAAGATGAGTAGAAAGCCTCAAGAACACTTCGTAAGCTCAAAGTTCTTGATTTCTCTAAAATCTTTTATTTGGATCTTCGGTGAAATCCTTCGTTCTTGATACGTACATGTAGCCCTCGTCGTGGTGATCAATTTTTACTCTTGGTCCAAGTGATTCTAACTGACTGAACTCCATGAATCAAAGAGAGAAGGGTAGAGATTTTTGTTTTTCTTCTTCTCCTCCTTCCAACGTTCAGACCAGCAGAGAACCCAGCAGAAAAATGTTCCAAAATCAGATATTTAGTTCATATTTATACATTTTAACACTTGGCTCACGTCGCGCCACATGCCTCCCTTTTTATCGAGTCCGTTTTCGCCCCGAAACAATTAAATTTCGCTTCGGTTCAAGCTCAAAATATTTAATATGAATTTTCTTTAAATTATAATAAAATTTTAGAATTTTTCATTTTTAGGCGTTTTTGAGGTCACCCGACACCCATCGCCTTGAAAAACGTGAAAAATTTGATTATCTCAAAATTCGACGAAAATTGTCTAAGTAACTAGATTTCGCAGGAAGAATCCAATGGTGATGTCCGTTTCATCATCCGAGCTCTAGAGAAATACAAATTTTAAACTCGCATTACAGTGACAAATTACCGTTTTACCCTTTTTATAAAAAGTTCAAATTTTTCCCGGGTTCTACAAGTGACACGTAACAAGCACAAAAAAGCCATAGTATAATTTGGAGGTAGCATGTATCAAGCACGAGAAAACCTTAAACAAGTGTGTATGTTAGGTGGCATGCATGCGCGACAAGTCTCGAGCTAGAAAAGAGCAACACATGTAAGGTGCTACCTCACCCTTGCCTTTGCCTATAAATTCAGTTCTATCCCTCTATAAAACTATAGGACATAATGTAGGAAAAGAAGATGGAAGAAAGAGATTCGAGAACAAGGGAATCGAGAAAAAAGAGGGAAATAGAGGAAAAGGGAATTGAGAGGATGAAGAAGAAAGAAGGAAAGAGGAAAGAGGAGAGAAAAAGAGAAATCCATAAAAAATTATCCATGAAACGAAATCTGATCGAGCTGAAATTTTAGTATATTGTTTTTGAGGTTATGACGACAACATCTATCGGAGTAAATTAACGATTTGAGGTATGGAGTAGCATACAATATACTTCTGTCTTTTAAATCTCTTTGCAAATAGTATTCTACTGATTATTTTAAAATTTTATTCTTATTTATTATTTGTTGATCGATATAAATTTGAGCTAGTTGTGTTTTGAGCTAATTAATTACTTTGGGACTGATTGATACACATATGAAGTGCGCTTGGGGCATATTTTATGGCCTATGAGCTGTGATTATGGCCCTACAAGTTGTGATTATGGTCATATAAAATGTGATTGTGGCCCTGCAAGATGTGATTGATCAGCACGAGTTTCAATTTATGTCCAAATGTTACTTGTCATGCTATCAAGATGAATCAAATATGAGGCGATGTAGGTTGTGATATATGGTATTT